CAAGGGCATGCATACTAGGAGGTGGGGGCCACTGGGAACTATCGTAGAATCTGTCTATCACATTAAGCAATGGTAAGTTGTGTGTATCTGTGGTGGGGCGTCAGTAGGCAGTGACCATTCCCTTTGCTGAGGGAAGCAACATATTGGGTGAGAGAGGGGACAGGAAGCCCTCCCCAGGAGGAATTTGTGCGTACTCATGCACTGTAGCTCACTCAGGTCAGGGAGGGCTGCGCTTCCCTTACCCACCCCTGCCCTGGGAAGACATCCTATCTCTGGAAAGAAGCCTGATGCGTGTGAGCTAGGCTGAAGCTTGCTCTAATAACAGAACATTACGGTTTCACCACTGGGGCTATGTATATCCTGCCAGTGAGACTGTTGAGGACACAAATCAGGATAGTGGCCACAAGGATGGGAAAAAAAGACTGGAACAGGATTTAGAAAGTAATGACTTATGGCTGATTTGATGTTGGAATAATGGTGTCAGAACGGGGAAGATAAATTTCTATAGCAGGAAATTGGGTAGATAGTGGTGTCCTTAACCAATAGAGGAAATAAGGGTAGAAGGTTTGGAGACTTTGATCATGCTGATTTTGAGAAGATGATGCTTGTAATTGCCAGTATGTTTTCAGAACTCAAGGCCAGGATGAGTGCTAGTGATGAGCAACTGGGTATCAGAGTGAGGAGGTGGTAACTGGAGCCGCCTCTGTGTACTCAGAGCACCCAAGAGAAAAAAGTTGGCCTAGGACAGAGTCTTTGGGGAGCATCCATGCAGAGAGCTAGCAAAGGAGGAAACACCAGGGAAGGCTGAGAAGGAACAGCCAGAAAGGCAGGCAGAGAACCAAGAGGCCTATCCTCACTATGTTCCTCCCATACCCTTGAAAGTGCAAAGCTCTTTCAACTCCCATCCAAACGGGGTTTCCCCTGCTTGGGACACTCTTCCCGCCCACCATTGTCTGGCTGTGTCCTCATCTACTCTTCAGCTGAGTGATGGCATAAGTGTCACTTACTGAAGTCTTCTCAGACTCCTTGACCTAATTTTGGCTCCCTGATTGTCCTCTCCAGGCCCCCACACAGCTCTGGACACATAATGGGGACCTGATGAATGTTTGCTCCTGAGTAAGTGAGAAATGAATATCAACTGGCTGTGTGCTCTTGAACTGGTCACCTGACCTCTCTGGGCTTCAGAGCCTCCTCATCTGTAGCATGGAAGGAGGACTATAGGTCTCTAAGATCTCTTTCAGCTCTGGCAATCTTTGATTCTTTCACTCTAGTGTCTGTCCATATTCACTGCAAGGATTTGCTGGAATGTGCATGTGGAAGGACTTGGGGAAGTCAGGGGGACAGGAAGGAGGCTGGGGGCCATGGCAGAGGAGTGGGACATCCACTCAGCCCAGAGGACTATAGGCACCACTTGTGACCTGACGGGCAGGAGCTGGAGGCAGGGGGTGGACAGTCAGAATCCAAACCTTGGCTTTGGACTTTTACTAATGCTTGGGTTTCAATTCAGGGAGTGGTCTTCTCACACCATTGTTAGACCAGTAGTCAATCTACTTCTGGAAAATAAATATTAGCCACGTGAACACAGACACAGCGTGCACACAAGCCACATACACATACAGACATGGACCAAATGCACATTTGCAATCACAAAGACAAACATGAGTGCACACAGGGATCTACCAACAAGCACAGCCGGAGGGTCCTTCCCCATCTCCCTGGGCCCAGGAGGACAGCACCGTCCTCTGAGTCCTGAGGGCCTACAGACACCAGGGGTGTACACTTGGGCCCTGAGGATTGGGTGCTTCCGCTCAGGCCCAAAACAGAGCTCAGGAAGGGAGAACAGCTTCGCCGAGTCTCCAGGTGTGCAGCTATTTGCAGCACCACAGCCCAGGGGGCTGAAGAAACTGAGGTCTGTCCCCAGAACCAGGGTGGTGCACAGGTGCAGCTTTCAAGAGACCTGGAAAACAGTGGCATGTGGAGGTGGCTGGGGCACGTCGCTTACAAAACAGGCTCACCCATGATCTCACTTAACCCTCACAGTGGCTCTGCTCCGCATGGGAGGTATTTGTAGGTGGTGAAACCGAGACTCATACATCTAAAGTGACTTGCCCCCAGGAGTGCAACTGCAAGTGGCAGATGTGGGACTCAGACATGGTCTCTCCAGCAGGTGCTCTCTTCCTCACCCCTACCAGCTCTGCCTCTTGCCTCTAGCACTTGGCTCCTGCCTCTGGGGACCCCAATATCAAGCTGCTGATACATGCCTCCCTCAAACACAGCCTGCTGGAGCCCTGACCTGTGTTGAGAGGAGCTGGTAGAATGGTGAGTTTTCTAGAAACTCATGAAAGTGCATCCTTCCAGAAGGGCTGACGCAGAAGCTCCAGCTGCAGGCCCTGGTCTAGTGCTCTTCTCAGAAGGGGCAGAGGTCTCTGGAGGAAAGCAAACGTGAGTCAGAAGACAAACAGGTCACATCTGGCTGCTGGGCATTGAAATGATTGTGTGGTGACTAATTCTCGAAAGCTGACAAGCTAAAATCTTTTTGAAATGTAATGCCCTGTTGACAGTTTCATCAGCCCAAATTCACGTCTTCTGCTCCCTCTTTCATGCTCACACACACACTCACACTCACACACTTGCCACGGTGCTGGGGCTGCAGAGAGGACTTTCATAGCCTAAAGGACCTTACAGCTCACTGAGCCCAGTGTTTCCAAAAGTGCCTTGATGTCAAGAACCACCTGAGGTGCTTGTTAAAAATAACAGATTCTAACCAGGATCCCCATCCCAGCCACTGGAGCCAGAATCTCTGAGGGTGGGCACATGGGGGCTGAATGTTTTATGAGGTTTTTGAGAAATTTTTATCATCAGAAAGTTTGGCAAGACTCATTTAGACCAACCCCTTCATTTTTATAAGTCAAGTTTTAATGACCTAGAGAGGCCCCTTAAGCTGCCCTGAGTCACACAGCAAGTTAGCTGGCAAGCACATGAATTCTCAGTGCCAGTTCCTGGTGCAGGAGCAGGGATGGAAGGGTTACCAAGTACCTACCATGGACTGGTGGGGGTCGGGGGGAGGTCTGAGTTCCACTAAGTTTAGCACTAACAGCAAAGAGGTGCCAGATTCTGTGCTGGGCACTGCTTGTGTCATTTAATCCTAAAAGCTATGCCTTGCTGGCCACCATTGTCTTCCTTCTGTAGGAACTGAGGAAGCTGGCATGTAGGTTGTGTGCTTTCCGGGGCCCCAAGTCAGGATTTGAACCTGGATCCAGGAGAAACCAGCTTGCAAACTATACTGCATTAGCTCCGAGAGGCACTTTGCCTGTCTTAGTTCATCTGATTCATTGGTGATCTAGGTAGTTTCTCTTTTAAAGATGAAGAAGCCAAAGCTCAGGGTAGTGAGGTAACCTGCTGAAGACTGCGTGGCAGCAAACTGCAGAGGCTGATCCAGCCTGGGTCTGTCTTACAACAAAGGCCACGCACCCTTTGGGCACCAAAGGGGGTTTCCGAGGCTCCTTTTGGGGCCCAGACCACTTCTTCTGGCCTCTGTAATGGCACAGCCCCCGCCACACCTTCACCCTGCCAGCGGCCTGGGTCCAGGCCCCTCTCCCACCCTCAGTGCCTGTTCCTGCGCTTCTGCTTTCCCTGAGTCCTTTTCTGATCCTCATCTGCTCTGTCATTCTAAAGCCGGGCTCCGCGCACTTTCAGTAAAGGGCTAGACAAAGCTGCTGTCACTTCTGCCCACCGAGTGTGGAAGGATTCACAGACATGTGAATGGATGAGTGTGTCTCAATTAAACTTTACTTTATGGGCTGCCGTTCGGCCCTGCCTGTTCTGCAAGATTGCCGGGGCTGCCTATTTGAGCAGGTTTTCATTTGCTATTGCTCTGTGTGGAAGAGAAAATGTGTCTGCGTGGGCAGGTGCATGTTTGAGAGGAGCACCCACCCGTACCCCATGCCATTGGGCCATTAGGAACTAGGAATCCCCTGCCTGAACTGTGAGGAGAGTGCCTAGTCGTCAAGGATGGTTTGTTCACTCGCTCATTAATTCATTCACTTGCTGAATGTTTTTTGAACACCTGTCATGTGGTAGACATTGTGCCGACCTCGTGGAGACAGGCAGAGGAGTCGCCACCCTCACAGAATACACAGCCCACCTGGGGCTCCCAAAGGGATGATTTAGGTAGGTGTGGAAAGCAGGGATGCAACTTAAGTTGGGGGCCAGGGAAGGCTTCCAGGAAGAGGCAATGTTTAAGCAGTGACCTGAAGTTTGCCCAGGAACTATCCAATTGATGGCAGGGGCAAGGCAGGGCGTAATCCGCATGAAAAGAAATACCAAGTGACGCTTTTTAAAAGATCATTTGTCTAGCATATGCACACTGCTGAATTGACCTTCTTGGGGGTGTGATTCTTTCAGACAACACGAACATTTGGTTTTCCCATGGACAGATGGACCTGGATGTTTGTAGATTCTGTTCCATGATCTAAATGGCCCAGCTCCTGTACTGGGAGAAGGGGAGGCTATAACAGATGTTTTGTGTAAATTTGTGAATTGACGCAGATGTGGACAAAACCATGCAACATTTCCATTTGTTTCTTTATCTGAGCTGTGTCTTTCACATCATTCCAAAAAAATCCAGATCACTGACTCTGGTAGATAGAACGTTATTTTTAAGGCAAATGCTTAAAATGTGACATTGTAATGTAATCTTTATTTGAAACACAAAATGACTTACTGCCTTTAAAAAAACTTGAAAATCTTACCTAGTAATTCCTTGTTCCCAGGGCTTAAAAGACTCGTTAGCTTTTTTTAAAGGAAAATACAAGAAATGCCAACTATATATGCAACTTAAACTAATATTTGATTCAAATGTTAATTTTCTTTTTACTTTTTAATCTGCTTCCCAGAACTTGTGTAGTCCTGGGAGTGTCTGTGCTATTGATTCAGCTCTGAGCACAAGAGCTGTTGGACTTTATTTATCACTTTATGTGGATAACCTCTTTCCCCAACAGGACTCTCAGTGTTGCATACCAGGAGCCATGTGCCCCAGGCAGGGGCTTACTGCCTGTTTGGAAATGATGACAAAGATGATAAAGAGCATTTTGGTGACAGCACAGCACAAATGAAGATAATGCATTGCCTGCCTCCTCCTGCACCCTTGCTCTAGGCTCCCTGCTGGTGATGCAAGATCCCCTGGAAGGATATTCCTGGTAGGTGTTCCCCAGGGCTTCTGGCTCTTCATTGCCCCTGAGCCCTGAAAAGTACACCCCAAGAATGGAAGGGCCTGCTGAGGGCTTCATGTTCCCACCCCAGAACAGTCTCTGGGGAAGGTGAGCCTTACCGGTGAGAAGTAAGTCCTGGAGCAGCTTGGCGTGGGGTTTTCAGACAGCTTCACAGCCTGTAGCCTTCAGGAAGGTCCCTGACACTAGGTCATTCCTCCAGTGAGGACAAGAGAGGTGGGCTGGGGCCTGCTGCTGTGGGGAGGGGGAGAGGCCTGGCCCGCAGTCTAGAATGACAGGGACATGGGGCAGGGGACCCAGTGTTCTGATTTGAAGAAGAGGGGAGCTTGCCTTGAAGGAGCTGAGTCCTGGCATGTGGGGAGGGAGACCTCAGGCTAGAACTTCAGTGTTGACTGTGGTTCTGTGGGCATGATTGGGGTTTTCTGGTTTCCGGAGCTGAAAAACATCTTGTTCTCAACACTATGCAACAGGTGGCCTGCCCATGAGGCAGGAAGGGGCCACCGTCCTGCCAGGTGTTTGTTTTTCCCCCTGGTGCAGGTTTCCAGAACTCAGGAGCTTTCCGTTCATACGTTATTTACTGAACTTAGTACAGCAGCCCAGCCAGGGCACAAACCCACTATCAGAATGGCAATAGGTTGCATTCTCAGTGCCAGTTCTGCTCCCATGTGTTGGCTGCCTGCATGGCTTTAAGATAGTCCTTAGGCCTCCTCTGGTCCTGCAGGAAAGAGGCTGTGATCAATTATGGCCATTTTCCATGGGTGTGGCCCCACAGAGGCAGTGTTGTAGGCACTCAGTAAGTGTCCATTGATTAAATTTAATCCACCCAGAACTTCTTTCCTCTTGAGTGCCCTGTAGAATCCACACTTCCTTTGATGGGTCAGCAAAGGACAACTACTTCTTGAGCTATCCCAGGATCTCTTGTTGGTCAGGGCAGGGAGCAAGGGGTAAATGCCTTCATTCATCAGCTGCTTGCTGAATTTCTACTGCGGGCTGAGCCCCGTGCTGAGGGTTGAGGATGTGTGGTGTGGGCCGGAGCTGGGGGCACAGTTGCATCCCCTTTCTCTGTGGAGTTAGAGGGCCAACGAGATGCCCCCCTGCTCAGGAGAGTCAGACAAGTCCCACCACAGGTCCAAAGCATGCTTCCTGGGTGGCTGAGGGGTTGGATGAGGAAATCCTCAGTCAGAGGCCTTCTTGTTCAGCACTTCACGCAAACACTTAGCCCAGGCTGCTCTTGACTGGCGGCTCTTCTTCTGTCCCCTGCGCTGCAGGCCTCTTGGTTCCCTCCAGCAGCTTAGATTGGGCCAGTAAGCTCTTCTCTTCATGCTGTGTACACTGCTGGAAGACAAAGCACTTTCTAAAATTAAGCTAGTTGCCTCTGGGTCCTGCTAAACTCTGGTTGTTCCAGAAAGAGCAGATAAAAAATGCAGAAGGTCTTCTGGCTGGAAATCTACCAGCTTGTCTCCTCTCTCTTCACCCAACCCCTCCCTAAACCCATTGGGCATGTCTGGTTTTCCTGGCCCCCAACACATGCAATCTGTAGATAAGAATTTTCAGAGCACTTGACTAGCAAGAGTTTAGTTACTAGTCATTTGGTTAAATCATGATATATGTTTCCTTATGACTGGTTCCTTAAAAACTCAGAATATGCTACTTCATGTATGTTTAAATGGTTAAATAAATGGTTTGAAACCACAGAAAAAATTAATATTGAAAGTCACATAGGGCCTTGAAAACTATCATATAAATAAGAGCAGGAGCTGTTGTTTCCTATGCTTTGAAAAATGAAATAAATTGTTTACCTGTCAAAATATGCTTGCCCGATCTGTTCAGACATATAGACAGCCTTGTGTGCGTAAAAGATCAACATCGCACATGCTGATGAGCATGCCGGTGCCTGAGTGGACACACTCATATACAAGCACACAATCTCAGGCACACAGCCTCGCCTGCTGTTTCAGTTTCTGATTGTCTGCCATGGTTGATTTGTAAAGATTTGAATATCCCACAACATGTGGCTTGGAACAACTGTTAGTTACTACTTATCATTAACATATGTTCATTTTCCCAGACTTCCTCCCATTATACCAGGCAAATGTCATGAACACACTCAGTTACAAGCTCAGTCTTTGAAGTCAAAGGGATCTGGATGTAGGTGACTAGCTGTGTGACCTTGGGCAAAGCCTTGATCTCTGAAGCCTCAGTTTGCTGATTAATAAAAGCAGTAGGTATGAGGACGTCTTCACAGAGCCGTGGTTAGGATTAAACGTTACTATGTGCAAAAACATTATGCTACCTACCTGGTCTGTGGGGAGGTGCTTAGTAAATGTTAATCTCCTTCCCTGTAAACAGTAGGAGGATTTCATCCAACAGAGAGTAGGAAGGAGCTTTAGAGGTCATGGCCAAGCCCCAGCCCAGGCAACTCTGCTTCTTTTAGCACCCAACCCTGAGCACCAGCACCAAGTCCCAGCCAGCAACGGTCCCTTAGGGAAGGGTTGAAAGACCCAGTTGGATTGAACACCCTGGCTGTACAGCCCAGGAATGGCTAGCTCTAGGGACTAGCAAAGAACTTACTTCCATAAGAGGGAGCCCATTTCATTGTCAGACATGTCCAGTACTTGGAGAGTGCTTTCTGAAAGACTGGACAAGACCAGCCTCAAATAGTGGAAGATAGAAAAATTTTTTAACAGATGGAGGCAGCTCCATAAAACATGGTACAACCAGTTTGCTCCTAGGTGGAGATATAAGCCTCCCATACTCCATATGTACAGTTGCTGATGATACTACCCATATTGGGTGTCATTCAAAGGGTTTATGCCTTCCTGATCTATTCTCAGACCTTTCCTTGAGTTCCAGACTTGCATATCCAACTATTTTCTTAACATCTTCACTTCAATATTTAATAGCTATCTCAAGTTTCACACATTCAAAACTGAGCTCATGATCTTCACTTGCACCATCTCAAACTTACTCTTCCTGTAGAAAGAAAAAAATAGCAGCTGAAGGATGGGTTGGCATGGGGGTGGCTGTATTTTGGGAGGAAAATGACCCATAGAACCACTGTTGATACCTTGCATTTGTTTCTAGGGTCAGGAAGAGGGCATGATCCATTCACTGTGATCTTTCCCTTGGGGCTGTTTGTTGCAAACATTATTCCCAAGTGCAAACTGATGTTGTGGAATATATTTTCCTTTTCGCCAGGATGATATTAACTGGGCACTACCGTGGATCAAAGCCTCAGTTATGATCTCATCATGTTGCTTCTAAGCAACAACTAAAGACATTCAAATGTGAATTACAAGCACACGCATTTCTAGAAATCTAGTCCCGGAAGCCTCAAATCTCAATCACTTATGTGAGTGGGCATTAAGTTTGTGATGACTTTATGATGATTTATGTCATACTCTGGCAGCTTACTGGAAACCACCTCATTCTATGTGGGAGAAAAAAGAAGAAATGACACGTGGGTATTGTCTCAGAAACTATGGCTAGGACTTCCCCTGTAAGAACACACAGAGTCATCACAGACACCCTGTGTTAGTACAAGACTGTCATAGGGAGGCCATGTGATAAAGGGGAGTTATGAGGCTTGGGTTCTAATCCCAGGTCATCTTTGAAATAGTTGTGGGATCTTAGGAAAATCACTGATCCTCTCTGAGTCCTCGTTCCCTCAAATGTAATGAGGGGGGTAGATAGAATGATATCTAAGATTTTTTCAGTTCTGATACTTTGTAATCTGAGTGTAACCACAAAACTCATAGCCCTGCAGGACCTTGGACTATACCTTCATCATTTCCCTTTGGAGCCACCAGGAGGTGGTTCTAACGAGATTCACTGTCGCTGCTGAAGCCAGCCTTTCTCAGTGGTCCTTCCTCAGGTCACTGGCTACCTGAGTGATCCTTCTAAAATATGCAGCTGATTTTTTTTCCCATTTCCATTTCCACTAAGAACAATTCATTGCTCTTTCTCTTGACTACAGGTTGCAATTCTCTGTTTCTTCACATGTCTAGTAAATTTTTATTGTATGCTAGACTTTGGGAGTGACACTTTATAGGGAGCCTGGACTTTCTTATTCTCCTTTAAAGGATGGTAACTTTTGTTCTCCAAACAGAAGGAGAAAGTAAGACCCCCCTCTCATATTTGTGTGGAGGGCCATATGCCAGAAGTGCTGCAGCCTTTCTCTGTCTCTCCCAGTCTTGCCTCTTGGGCATTTTCTCTCTTTATGTCTCACAAATTCAGTTTTCTGATGGATAATCTAAGAAATAAAAACAAGTGCTCAATAGTTTGCTCAACTCCTAATGAGTATTTCTGGTAGAAAAAATCAAAACAGAATAAAAGCAACAATGGCAAAATTGTACTTCATAGATTGTTTTTTAACCAAAAAAATTTAACGAAATAATAAGATCTCTTAGAGCATATTAACTTATGTAAAATTTGACCCAGGAAAATAAAAATTGGTAGAAATAAAGGCCGTAGGCCCTAATAATGGCAAAAGCTTTAATCATTACAATTTTATTTGAACAAAATAAACAGATCAATGAATGAAAACTTTGCTGTACAATGCAAAAGAAAAAAATAGATGGCAAAAATAATTCTGGTAACCTAAAAGTAAGGAAAAAATAGGAAACTAATGGCATTGTATAGAAAAATTGACAAAGGAAAATGAGTTGGCTCAACAGAGTTCATGATAAAAAATATTTTCTTAACAAAAATTTATTAATGTTTATGCAATTCTGATTTAAAATATTTCTATTTAAAACATCCCCAGGATGAGAATGATGGGTTCCAAATACCTTGCACACCACTGTGCTCCTCTGTTTGTCCTTGCCTTGCCCCTGATCATCTTTTATCTGACTGGCCTTCTGAACTGGCCACTGGACCACCTCC